GCATTGGTACGGGTAGGAAAATTGACAATGTTCTCTACGCCTAGAGTGATTAGGAGGGAAGGACTGGTCAGTACAAATGGCGAATTGCTTCACTACAGTAGCAGAAAATAGTCTTAAGTCGGGGACGAGTGGATCAGGGGCACTATAAATATTCACAAAGTAAATGAAACGAAATCTGCTGAGAAAGCGGGGCTTAGAGCAAACAAAAGTACAGTTAATTTTACTTGTTGTGTAGGAAAAGATCATACGAGCGTTCTTACACCAACTTCGATTTACGGAAGTGACCACTCCGCCACCTCTGTTGCAAAATCTCAGAATCCGATCACTCCTGAAAATATCAAAGCCGTCTAATCCGACAACATCATCCTGAATATCTGGGTGTAACCAGCTTTCTTGAAGTAATATGACTCTCACACTTTTTCATTGTTTCTTTTGCACTAGATTTTGGACCTCCTCGATTTTTCCCACAAGTGAGCGAATGTTACTCAAACAAATGGATGGAATGTTCATCCTGTTGATAGAACTTCGCCGGAGAGGAGCCTGCCAGCCAGCGCGATGCTTTTTATGTACTGATCAGATGATCTGCTATTTAGATAAACACGGAAACAGTAGGACTAGTCAAGAAAGGTATTGTGCTCTACAAAGGTGGGTTTCATTCAGCTTGTGTATTAACACACGGGAAGTTATTTCGACTCACCGAAACCGCACAGTTGGAAGTAGACTTATTATTTGTAATGCTTTATGTGAGGTTGTGACAATAAAAGTATGGCAGCACAACCAGTGTCGCCACAGAGTAAGAAGAGAAATTGAGATAGCTTGTAATGCGCTTGCATTCAGTCGTCGTTTGAATTTCTTTGTTTCGCAACCATCCCCGTTTCCTCCTAGTGCGTTTCGATCCAACCGCGAGTATATATTAGTACGTTTTTCCCATTCCTTTACACATGCGATATGGTAGCGTGAACATAGAGGTTAAGAATTCGTGGAAAGATAAACATGGTGATCGTGTTAGGGTATTTTCATACTTCAAACAACACAGCAACCGATCATAGATGTATTTTAACACAGTTTTCGACCCTAGACTAGCGCCCCTTGCGTTAGAAAGTGTGCATTCAAGGCTGTCTCACAGGTGTCACTGGAGGTCTGATTATAATAATACCCCTTAATAGATACCCACACCAACAAATTTAGTAAATGGAAGACGCGTCACTTTGACAAAATAAGCCTATTTTCAAAAATCGGATGCACCATGTCCCTCATGTGCGTTTCCCTGTGTGAAAACCTTAGAAAAAGTAGTCAATTTTCGTACGACTCGAGACATTATAGTTTCCTTGATTTTATTACCTGTCAAATTCAGGGCTTCTGTGCAATGCAACAACTAACTGAGGTATAGAATTCGCTTGCAGCTGGTTAAGCATAGCGGAAAATAACAGAAAGTATGAAAATCGCGGTCACTTGACGCTATTCAGACCTTTTTGTCAGGCTCCTCGAGCTTCTTATCGCAATAAACAAAAACCAAAAGCATAGGGAAGTGTGAACGTTCCTTTTTTCAAAATATACAAATCGTACACATCATTGTAACAATAAACTTAATACCGAAATTACGACCCGAAACAGTTCAAATCTACCGGAACATTGACGTCTGTCCTCATTCGAATACAAGAAGCAGGTTCCAAAAGCTGGATGAGGGCAGAGAATTCGTGAATGCAACGTGCGATCTATTGAAATGAAGCGAGCCTAACGCAAACTTTGAAGGAGTTGTTTTCTTTGCTGGTCCAATAGTTCTTCCAAATGTTCCACTCGTCGGTTGGCCTGGTCCAACTCGGTTACTTGTTTTTCCAATTCCCTTTCAAACTGGCCACGCATTTGATTGGTCTTCTCATCTTTTCGTTTCATTGCTTCCTTTATTCTAAGATAAAGAGTACAAGAATACAAATCGTGTTTAGATCACTGAAAAATCTCCTTCGCCGACTGGAAGTTACCTTAATGCAAAAAAGCACTGAAGTAAAACGGTAATGCGGATATCTTCTTTGACTGGATTCACTAGAAGAGAATACATTCTTCTGAGAGAAATGCGGTATTTGTAGATATAACTAACTGAATTGACCAATTTACACATTATTCGTAAAAAATCCGCCTTCATGGGAAAATTATTTTCAGAGGGACAATTCGTTCTTATTGGTTGAGAGTGTGAATGGTCAACCGAGAACTTGATGCAGAGATAGTTTAAAAGACGAAAATTCTGTCATGTATCCTGATTATATTTACCGCACGGTGATGAATTTAATGAATGCGACTAGTGAGCGACAGAATAATTATCGATGAATAATTCGGCTTTTGCATCTGCGCAATTATTTAATACCTTTTCTGAATGCGTTTTATTATTACCGTACACTTTTCGTTTCGTATTGTTCAAAATAAACAAAATGGGATCTGACGACACTTTTGAAAGCTAAAATTTAACACAGGGATAAATTTCCTATGCTCCCATTCTGTTCACAAACATCGATTTTCTTATCCCGATCTTTGAAAGCCTACTTGGGACATGAGTGGATGCCTTCGGTTGTAAATGATCACTCTTCCCGTGCACCTAGAGACATGCTCCCATAAGAACAAATCATTCAGTGTCTCTGATGCGTAAGCTCTTCCCATTGTCTTCCTGTGACGGAGGTGTTTTCTCAATAAAGTCAGAAGATGCACAGTTGATAGTCAGTGAATAGCACCGGTTAACCGCCTGCGAAGTTTGGTAAAACCCCTGATTTCAAATCAAACATCAATAGGTGTAAAAAGCAAACCCCTAACTTCGTGTACTTGGCTGTGATTACCAGATTGGTTGGACATCAAGGTGTATTGAGTGCCCTAGACAATTGTTCCTGTCCAAATGGTGTATGATTCAATAAACTGGATATTGGCCCAAAATGGTTTTGCTGTCTTTGCACACCACCAAGCTAACTAGACTATCAGACTTTGGCTAACCAAAGGCGTTGATTGTGAATTGCTCAAGAAAACGCACTTGGTTTGGATTGATCACTACGCGAACACGGATAAGGCATGAACTGATTCCTCTGTTCACAAATTGCATCGCGATTTGTTTCGCAACGTCTGAACTAAGACGCATGTGAAATAAAATATTAACAATCCGTTGTTTATTCCCCGATGGAAGACTCATATTCTCAGTATACAAATATCTTTCTCACTTTTGATGAACTGACTTCAGCTCTTCTCCATTTGCCTTTCTCAATGCTGCTAAATCTGTTTCATGACGTTCTTGTTCCTTGGACAATCTTGCTTTTGTTTCGGCCAATTCACGTTTTGCGGTTCGATTCTCTTCCTCAAGCGTGACCAGACGATCGGCGAACTCTTACCCAACTACGTCGGATAGGTTTTGACGTTCTCCATCGAGTTTCACACATAGTGCACGAATCTCATGTATCTCCTGTTCTCGCTGTTGTAACTGTATTCGTAGTCGGTCGCATTCCTGTTCTCTGTTCAACAGCTTTGTCTGAATGCAAATAATAAAGCAGGACAGGGTTGGTGCTCAGTGCACGGAGATCAAGTGAGTGGAATCTGTTTGCTTCTAACGCTACCTCTTCTCCTCAACGCTTGTGCTACATCTGTCAACGATGAAGATTACTCGACTGCATTTATGAAACAGACAGAAGTATC